TCTCCACTCCGCACTCCCCCCATCATTCACTATGGTAAGATTTTTTGTTCCGATGATGCCTTACACCTGATCCCTTCGACACCTCGTGGTTGGATAGGCTGGTGTGCTTCTTCCATGTGGGCTTTGTTGCTTCTGAGTAAAGCGTTTTCTAATAACTGGATTTAAACTTCAATAAAATAAAAATTGAATTTCTCAGTTACACTGACCCCATTTCAAGCACTCAGTTGCTGCTTTTGGCCAGAGGCCAAATCAGCACATCTCGATTATTTCTTTAAATGGCTGCATACTTTTATATGATCATAATCTGAGTAATTACCGTTCACTGAGTTTGCTGTGGGTTGGACACTTAGAAAGGAGCCCTGCAGGCACAGTGGTTAAGCACTCAGCTGCTAAACAAAAGGTCGGAGGTTTGAACCCACCAACTTCTTCAGAGAAAGCTGTGGCAGTCTGCTTCTGGAAGAAGCATGCATTTGGTTCCATGCCATTGATTGCTATCCTCACAAGGTACCAGTACTTCTCCTACTACCTCCCTAGTCCTATTTGCCCTTCTTTCTAGTCCCCTGCAGCCTTTAGAAATTTGTCCCTGGGCAAATGCTATCCTTTTGATCTCTTCTGGTTGATTATTCTGAAGTGTGCACACCTCCCTCTTGTTCCTGTTCACCGTATGGGTCTGTCTGGTGTTTGTCTGAAAGCTGAGCCAGCGAGGTGAGTTTGTATCCAGGCTTTTAGGGCAAGTAAGGACCGTAGTCTTGGAGGTTCCACCAGTGTCTGTCCAACCAAGGAGCTTGCTCTTTTGTTGTTGTTCTAAGCTTTTCTCCCACTCTATCCAGGACCTTCTCAAGTGAGCCCTGGGGTTGCTGTTGGCTAAAGTGTTAGACTGCTAACTGCAGGGTTGGAGGTTCAAACCCACCAGCTGCCCTGTTGAGGCTGTCTGCACCTGTAATGATTGACAGCCCGGAAACCCTATACAAGATTGCTGTGAGTCTGAATCAACTTGATGGCAATGGGATCCAGGACCTTGGATCCTTGTCAGGGAGATCAGTAGTGGTATTAAGGCACCACGTAGTTCTTCTGGTCTCAGGTTCCATTAGTCTACTGGACTAATTATTTCCATACAGCTTCAGTTTTCTTCATTCCTCTTAGTTCCAGACAGGGAGAGACTAATAGTTATGCCTTACAAAATGAAACCAAATTCACTGTCACTGAGTCAATTCAAACTCATAGTGACCCTATAAGACAAGGTGGCATTGCCCCTGTGAGTTTCTGAGACTCTTAACTCTTTATAGAGGTAGAGACTCATTTCCCCCCCACGAGAGCCTGTTGGATTTGAACTGCTGACCTTGTAGTTAGCCCAACTCATAGCCAAGTACATCACCAGGGCTCCTCCTAGTTGTGCATTGACATAAACAACATTTTTGTTAAAGCATAATAATACAGAAGAGTACATATATCCCAAGTGTTCACCTCCGTGAATTTACAACCTAAACACATCCATGGAAGCAGCACCTAAGAGCTCCACTGTGTTCTCTTGCAGTCATTGACCTACACACAGCACACACACACACTGTCTTAGTTATTTAGAAACACATTCCACATACACTGCTTGTTGATGCCTTAAGTGTCATTTTTTCTTCTCCAGAGTAGTGTGTTGTCATTTTAGTATGCAAATAATGTGTTTGTGGTGAAAGAAAAAAGGTTATAAAATACATTGAGTGCATTTTCAAGAGTACTATCCCACCAGTGAACATTGAGGGTCTTTGTGTAGCCAAAAACCCAGCGCCCACAGGTCGATTCCAACTGATAGTGACACTGTAGGACCGGGTCACACTGTTCTAGGGTTTCCAAGACTGCTGCTTACAGGACCAGATAGCTTCATCTTCCTGCCACAGATTGGCTGATGGGTCTGCGCCACCAGGGCTCTGCTCTGCAGTGTCTTTTTAAATATGTATTAAGTACTATGCTATTCCTTTTGGTAGACTGGATATCAGAATGTCATGTTAAATGAAACTCTAATGGTTTATTAGGAAAGGGATGTTGCAGTCTGGAGGGATGTGGTATACATCTCACTCTGAGGTTATAAGAACATGTTTGTATAGACCAGAGCTTCTCAAATTTCAATGCACTCAAGAATTAGCTGGGGGGCTTATTAAAAATGCAGAGCTGTAGGCCCACCATGAAAGTTCTGACTTGTTAGGAGGGCCTGACTGGAGCTTGCTTCTTCTTTTTTTTCCTTAAGTTTAGAGCAGTTTAAAGTTTTCAGAACTATTGTGCATTTTACTTGTTATTGCCTTGCATTCCTCAAGTTCATTTGTTATCATTGAATAGGCAATATCAATATATTGCTTGATTGAAGTCCATAGCTTCCTTTGTCGTTGTACAGTTCTCTGGGTTTAGATGATGGCTTCATGTTGTGTGTCTATCATATTGCTGTCATGCAGAATGGTTTTCTGCTCTAAAAATGCCACTGCTTTTTTTCAGTTACTGACTTTATAGTTTAGCTTTTCTAGACAGTCATATAATCGGAATCATGGTGTATGTAACTTTTTGAACTAGCTTCTTTCACTCGGCAGTGTACATGGAAGGTTCCTCCCTGTCTTTTGTGGCTTTGATAGCTCGTTTCTTTTTGTCTCTGAATGCTCCTCTTCTGTATGGGTGTGCCACAGTTTATCCACCCAGCTGTTGCTTCTCGTGTTTGTCGGGTTATGGATAAAGCTGCTGTCGACCTTGATGTGCAGGTTGTTCTGTGGACATGTTTCCATCGTATGTGGGTAAATGCCTAGTGCTCCAGTTGCTGGATCGGGTGGTAAGCCCATGTTTAGCTTTGTTAGAAACTGCCATACTGATTCTATCCTGGTTCTACCATTTTGCATTCCCACCAACCATGAATGAGCGTTCCTGTTGCCCAACATCCTGCACAACATTTGATGCTGTCTGTGTTAGCCATTCTAATAGGTGTGCAGTGGTATTTAATTGCTGCTTTGATTCGTAATTCCTAATAGCACACTGTGGAGCCCTGGTGGCCTGGTGGGCTAAGCATTGGACTGCTAGCCCCAGGCACAGCAGTTTGAGTCCACCAGCCATCAGCGGGGAGAAGATGGTTTTCTGCTCTCCTAAAGATTTAAAGTCTTGGAAACCCTAGATCGGGTCCCCGTGAGTCGGAATTGACTCGATGGGAATGATCGTGGCTTTGGTTTTTTTAGATAACATGTTGAGCAGCTTTCACGTGTTTGTTGCCATCTGTATGCCTTTTTTGGCGAATTTCTTAAGATTGTTTGCCTATTTTGTTATTGGGTTGTTTTCTTATTGTTGAGGCTTACGAGTTTTTTGTATATCTGAGCTACAGATCCTTTATCAAACAGGTATTTTTCAAATACTTTCTCTCCCTGTGTGCCTTCTCTTTTCACAAAGCAGGCATTTGTAACTTTAATGAAGTCCTTTTTGCTTGATTATTGATCAGTCCCTGGTGTCCGTTGCCATGCCCCTTCTCTTCCTGGTTTAGAGTAAGTCAGCTCAGACGCATGGCTGTTTAGAGGTTGGCTCAGTGGAGCTGATTTTCAGTGGCTGATATTTCAGGATTAGATCTTTGTGGAACCTCCAACCTTTCAGTAGCCGCTGAGGGCATTAAGTATTTGCAACCAGAAGTATTTGGTGCATGAATGAGTGGCGCGTTTAAAGTTGGACCATGGTGGTTCCGGTGCAGACTCCTCACCACAGTAGGAATTCTAAGGGTTCCGTGTGAGCCAACACTCGCTGGCCAGAAGAAGTCTTGGGAGGGATTCATAAAAGTCAATACCTCATCAGGGGTCTCTGTCAAATAACCTACCTGTCAATTAACAGTTGCAAAATATTTCTACAGCTTTTTTCACAGATTTAAGGAAGATGTTACTGCAGTCATCAGGTACTAGGGTACTCAGGTTTTTTTAAGTATCTTGGGGTGTGGTTAAATAGGATAAGCCAACAGAGAGGAAAAAATGGCTTGTGTTTAATAGAGCATTTTGCTTAAGAGCTTAAGATGAAGTAATAGGTCCATTAATTTTTCTTTCCATGTAAAATTATTTTTGATGCTACTCTGTAAATTCTTTCTGGTGCTAGAAATCGCCTGTTCCCCTTGGGTGTTGAGGTGACCCTGACTGGTGATGACCCCAGGACAGTGTAGAACTCGGTTCCGTAGGATTTCCGAAGCAGATGGACGCCTCTCTCTGCCTTGGAGCCGTTGGCTACTTTGGGTTAGCAGGCCAACACTTAGCCCACCGGGCCACCAGGGCTCATGTTGAAGTAATCGCTGCTTCACATGACTGACACAGGAAGAAGTTAAGTGACATGTCGTACCACTATTCAGAAACCGTCTCTAGTGGACCTGCTGCCTACTCCAGCGGCACGGTGTGAAGACGCTAACGCTTGAGCATAACCGAGGGTGGCCGTCTACTGGCTCTGGGACCTGGAGACAGTATCTTAGCCTTTCTGGAGCCACGTCAACTGCACGGCCCCTTCTGAACAGTCAGGGATGAGAAGGCAGGGTTTAGCACTGTTTCTGGCGTGCGCTAGGTCCCTTCCTCTGCCCTGCTGTTTCAGTTTAGTTTAGTTTCCAGCTTACCTCTTTTTAAAGAGAAGTCTTTATCTTTATTTTACTTTGGAGGCTAAATTTTTATTTAAGTTTTTTTAAAAAAGGTTATGCTTTGAGAAGGATGATGGCTACATATGTGCAAATGTGCTTGACACAGTGGATGTTTGGATTGTTATAAGAGCTGTAAGAGCTCCCAATAAAATGACTTTTTAAAAAAAAGATAATGAAATGTATTTGGCAATATATACTCACCATGATTTATGTTATCTAAGGATTTTGTTTTGCTTTGCTTTGCTTGCCGGTCTTCTGCTTGTCTCTTTAGGACATGAAGGATCAGATGTCCACTTCATCCGTGCAGGCATTAGCTGAAAGGAAAAACAGACAGGTAAGAAAATACCAGCTTACCCAGTATCAATTCAAGGGAACATGTGGTTAGAGATTGGGCATTAAAGTGCTGCCCCTCCACGTATTGTACTATTAAGCAGAAGGCCTGTGTTTGCTGCTCCTGCAGAGAGGCAGGGATTGAACTTTGTGAGAGTCCTGTTCACCTGGTGGCATAGTGGTTACACGTTGGGCTGCTAACCTCGAGGTCAGCACTTTGAAGCCACCAGCCACTCCTTGGGAGAAAGATGAGGCTTTCTACTCCCGTAAAGAGTTTCAGTTCCAGAAACCCTTGGGGGAAGTGCTGCCCTGACCTTTAAGGGTCTCCATGAGTGGCCGTCAACTCGATGGCAGTGAGTGAGTCCCCTCTCCAATGCCCCATCTGTCCTCTGCACACTGGGCTCCCACCACAGCCTCCATCCAGCCCTTTGCCAGGGGTTTGCCCTGTGCCTACCGGGCACAGCCTGAGAGCCAGGCCCTCTGCTGAGGGCTGTGGTCGGCTACTGACCCTGCGCTCCCGAGTGCCTTGAGCATGGCCGTGGCACAGGGGTTGTGCCTTGGTGCTTTACTGGTAGATGCTTTTGTGACAGAATTGAATGTTGTAAATTCTGCGGCTGCCCATTTTACTCAGGAACAGAAACCATCACAGCAATCTGGGGTTAAATGACTTTATTTACCTTACATGACCTAAAATTTACATTTTTCACAAGCTGCCTGAAGTCCCCCGTCTCCTTGGGCCATTGTCCTTCTCCCTTCCCACCTGCCTCCCTTGCTCCTCTTCTTGAACAGCTCGGTAGGACGAGCCATCGGGCTCTGGCTCTGGAGGGTACTCTCCAACAGCCAGAGCCTGCTCCTTGGGGAGTTCCTTTTGTTTCCACTTTAGCTTAGGGGCAGTTGAGGGGACCTGAAGTCGCAGTGACAATGATGCAGGTAGCACAGATCTTCCGCTATGGTTCTTTCATTTGGATGTTTTATTCTTTAGATTGTACAGTTGATCTAAAGTAGATAAAATGGGTATTTATATATTGTCCTTTGAGAAGGACGGCTTAGAATTTCATTTCAGGCCATGAGGGAAGTGTCGTAGAGTCAGATTTTCCAGGACTAGAGAGGTCAGAGGTTTTCCAAATACTCATGCAGGCAGTGTCGGCCCCACTGCCTTTCCCTGTTTGGCACTGGCCACTGTCCTGTGTGTGTGTGTGTGGGGGGAGGGGGCCTCTAGCACCCACACAGATGCTCAGGGTCTTCTCTCAGTCCGCTTTCCCATTTAAACATGCTGTTGGGGTCATGTTGAAGTCGCAGCTAACTCACAGTGCAGCAGAGATGACTCTTAACACTGTAGTGTACACCCACCAACAGACATGTAGGCTGTGGAGAACCCAGAAGAAATGGGTTTCACTGTGGCGCCCACACCAGACCCTGAAGGAGCCCCAGCTCTCTGAGCACAGCCATGAGAGGCACTGTCTTAGGGCCCTAGTGCTGCGGCAGCAGGTGGAAGGAGAAGTTGGAATTCAGAGTGCAGCTGTAGGGACAGGCTCTGGAGGAAGGAGGCCCTTGTCCCCTTGAGCTTCTGTTCCGTGGCAGTCTTCACTGGCATCTCTCTTCCCCCATCTTTGTTCCTTATTTAATCTCTTATTTCTCAGAAGAGATTGACTCATAATTTACCCTGTGCTAACTAGCCCGCACGTTTCCCAACAGGGATTATAATCACAAGCGTAGAGTTTAGGAGGTAGAGCACATATTTTTCAAGGACACAGTTCAATCCTGTTCGGATTTTCAAAACATATCACTGGGCCACAGTGTTCTACATAGAGTTGGATCCAAAAGAGCGGAATTGTTTATATCTAAAAAGCCCTAAACCAGCTATGGGCAGAGATGCTCCCTGTCCAGCCCCTCGACTGGATTCCAGCCCCCTCCCCCACTGGAAGCTTCCTGGTTCCTGGCCCTCCTTCAGATAACTGCCTTTGTATCCCAGGCGTCCTGGATGGTAGCCCTGACCTTTGGCCAAGTGACGGGATTGACCTCCCAGAGTCAGTTGAAGAGATCAGCGTAGGTATCGAGGACTTGGAGGGGAGGTGCATTGTGGGGAGTAGTTAGTGGTCAGAGAGGATTTTGGACGGTCCCCAAGATAAAATTCAGGTCGGAGACTTGGAGCCATAGAGTCTAGAAGGCCCCCCCATCCCCCCCACCCCGCCCAACTGCAGCCCTGAGATCCTCGTTATCCCTTCAGCTCCAAATATCCCCTCAAATCTTCTGAAACCAAACTTTAGAGAGTTCAGCCAAATTAGTCAAGAATGCCCTCCTGAACCATTTGTTCTCTTTCAAGGAACTTTGCATACAGGTTCAAGCTGAAGGTACAATAGGACTCTTAGAGGGTGTGAGTTTAGGTTAATGGTTGAGGAATAATTCTGAGAAGGTGGGCGGGAATGGCCGCAAAACTTGATGTCACTTGGGATCGATGTCACTGAATTGCACGTGCAGAAATGGTTGAATTTGTGTGTGTTTTGCTGCGCATGTTTTCAACGACTAAGAAAAGTTATTTTTTAAAAGAGAGTGTGAATTGCAGGGGGAAACAGCAGGTAAGGCAATGTGGCCACTCTTCCAAGGAAAAAACCTCCATTGTTAGCGCCCAGGTTGTGGATCTTTGTGACCCAGGGATGGTGTGTGTTTGCACTGCACGTGCTTGACCACCCAGAAAGGCTAGTGGGGATTGTTATCTGAACTGAGCTCTGAGCATCTCTGGCTGGCCTCTCATGTCAGAAAGGTGTCTCTAAAGGGGCCCATTGCAGGGCCAGCACTCGTTTGGGTAGTTGCACGTGGTCAGGGCACCCAGCGTTGCACTTGCCTAGATAAGCAATCCCCAGTTTCCTGGGTGGAGGCTTTGGGCTCAACCTGGGGTGATGGACTTTATTCATCGGTTCAGTTCTGCAGTCATGGGCAGTTCTTGCACTTTCTGCGTGCAAATGGGTATGGCTCCTAGGGTCTCTCCACCCTAGGCCCCCTCCTCCAAAAGAACAGACTCCTTGACTTACTGTGAAAAGACTCGGTCTTGGAGCCAGTTTGCCCAGAACCTGCCAGTCTCCAGTGAACTTCCAAAGGAACTAGGAAGAGCTGATCTTCTAAGAGACCGCGTGCTTTCAAATGACAGAATAATCTACAATTGGGTGTGTGTGTTGTTTTTAAAGTAGACATTTATTTGCATTTTAATGGGACAAAGCCCATTTGCTTGGCTTGTTGGGAGAACTTGGTGGCGATGGCCCTCCCTGGCATTCTCTAAACTCTGCCACACTTGCACCAATCCACCCTGCCACATAAAGACTTGTCCCAGGGAGAGGATGGATGAGGGAGAAAGAACTCTTCATACTGCTTGGTGGTGCTTCACTTGTTCATGGACAGTAACTGCTTCTTTCTCCTGACCCCGGCGACCCTGCTCACACAGACCCTGCTAGGAGAAAGCGGTGGCCAGAGCTGGCGCACAGGGACCGGCAGTAAGTACAGACGCCTGGACCAGGAGCTGCAGTTAGCCAACTCCCACTTCATCGAGGAGCAGCAGGCCCAGCAGCAGGTACCCTCAGAGCCCGCCTCGGACGGGAGCCCACACGGACCCACCCCTCGCGCCCTGCCAACCCTGGTGTTTTGTTGCTAATGACCAGGGCGCTGGCCCAGGGCTCTTGCTTGGGAAGACTGTGCCCGGTAGTGGAGAGAGTACACACAGAAAGGCTTTTCAGACCTTTAGAGTGCCAATCACTATTTCCAGAGAACCAAGTTTGATTAGGCCTCTTAGGAAAAGCAGTTCAGACCTCCAAATATGGTACTCAGGGCCACTGGCTTAAAAAGAAAGCCCTCTTTCCCAGCCTGGACCCGCTTCTATATTTTGTTTGGGGATTGTTTTTGTTTTCTTCCACAAAGGTACACACACACCCCAACCCCAAATTGAGTCCTTGTTTCGCCACTGAAAAGTGTTTGGTGGCACCATTGTATTGAAAAACGGTTGCCTGGGGTGTTGAGGGGAGAGGAAAGTGAGGTTGGTGAGATCTGTGCTGCCTTTGACGTGTGGGGAGGTCAGTGTCAGCCCCTCCTGCTTGAGACGCTCGGGTCTTAGCCGTCGTTCGCTATGTCAGGCAGGCCTCAGGAGCAGCACTGCAGGGCCGCGTCCAGGCCACCGCCATTAAGCGGGCCTCACAATAAAGCGAGTTGCACACAGCTTTGTGTTTTCCCAGTGCACGTAAGAGTGGTGTCTGCACCACAGTGCAGTATGCCGAGCACACGGCAGCGTCATGGAAAAGTTTGGAATACCCTGAAAAGTACCAGCGTGCCGCCAGACACACCGGAAGTGAGCGCCTGCTGGTGGAAAAATGGCCCCGACAGACTGGCCTGGCACAGGGTTGTCGGAAGCCTTCCAGTTGTAACAAAAGGAACGCCCATGAAACACAATGAAGGACTTTGCCCTACGTGTGTAGGTGAGAGGCCAGTTGTCTGCTTCAGTTGTTAGTGACCAGCCAGTCAGACTTTTAAAAGTACGGTGAGGAGTCCCTTCCTGCCCCAGGGCCTTCTCGAGTTTGTCCTGGAGAAGGGAAGAGAGCATTCGGCCGGGGAGGTTTTCCCACATCCAGAGACTGGTGTGTGGATTGAGACCTCGTTCTTCCAAAGACCCGGGTCTCAGTGGGTCATCTGCACATGGGCCTTGCGCCATTGTCTGCCTTTAATTGGGCTTTGGCCAGCGGAGTCTCGCTCTGTGGGTGGTTTCAAGCTGCTGAGTGTTCACACATTGCACCCGCGGGAGGTAGCGGTAGCTTGACAACGCCCCTTTTGAGCAGCGTGTTCTCGGAGGCGACGGTCTGGTCCTTTGATTTCTAGGCCGTGCTTCTGAATGTGAATTGTCCCGAGTTGGCAAAGAAGCTGGCAGCTGCTAGAGTGCTGGGCTCGGAACCAGGTAAGATGGGTTTTCAATGCTCTCTCCCGCTTCTCTGGCACAGTTGATTGTGGAGCAGCAGGATGAGCAGTTGGAGCTGGTCTCTGGCAGCATCGGGGTGCTGAAGAACATGTCCCAGCGCATTGGAGGGGAGCTGGAAGAGCAGGCGGTGTGAGTATGCAGGGACATCGAGGGGAACAAATGCCGTCTCTGAGTCCTGGGGGGAAAAGACACCAGTGACATTGTTAGTAAAACCAAAAGCTGTCGTACTCACCAACCAGAAATCCAAACCAAACCGACTGCCATCTCATCGATACTGACTCAGCTAGCAGCCCAGTAGAACAAAGTAGAACCACCCCAGGGACTTTGCACGGCTGAAATCCTCCCAGGAGCAGACTGCCACATCCCTCCCCCACGGGATGGCTGGTGGATTCTGTTAATTCTGCCTGTGGGGTACCCTTAAGGAGAGGAGGCCCTGGAGGTCTAGGAACAGACAGAATCGGCCCTGCCTGTGCCACGCAGAGAGGCTTTGCTGGGTAAAATGGACATTGTGTAAATGCATACTAGTCATTGACGTGATGCCTTGAGAGCCCAGCTTAGCCTAAGATCCCTGAGAGAGAGGAAAGGGGAGGATGAGCGGGCGGAAGTCAGGCGAAAGTGTGGGCTGTGGGGCAGTGAGGTGGGAGGAGGTGGAGCACATGGGCAGGTGCAGAGCACATGGGACAGAAAGCGTGAGTGTACCTGGCACTGGGGTGGAGGGTTCTGTAAGCCTCTCAGGGAGTTTCAGCTTTTTATTTTGAGGGCCAGGGGACTCCAGTATGTTCAGAGTGAGAGTTTGGGCAGACCTAACTCTGTAATGTAGACGCGACTCGGCCAGAGGAGAGCAAGACTAGAGGCAAGGAGCTGCCACTGAAACGAGGTCTAAGTGTTTGATCCCGGTCCAGATGGGCTTCTCACTGAACACTCCCTTTGCGGGGTGAGAGAAACGCATTGCCTAAGCGCCTCTGTGGGCAGGACAGCCTCTGTCACTGTGTCGGACTCCGTGTGCACAACAGAACCACACGTGTGTCGCCCTCCCTGTTGTTAGGCCTGTGCCCACTGATGCAGCCATCTCATCGCGGACCTTCCTCTACTTTGCTGCCCTCCACTTTACAAGCATCGTGTCCTTCTCCAGGGACTGGGCTCTCCTGACAGCATGTCCAGGGTGCGTGAGACGGAGTCTCGCCTGATGGATGGTAAATAATTGAGCCCGAGAGACTTCTATTAAAAGGCGGAGGACTAAACACCCGCTTTATCTCCTCCCCCCTCTGTGAAGCCCACTAGAATAGTGGTAAGGGGGGTTGCTTGTCTGGAGACTTAGAGCATGACATAAAACAACAGACATAGGAGTTTAAAGCCTGGGACGAAGTTAGACGCATGGCTACTGACTCGACAGACCAGGGAAAACTGACTCCTCAGGCCGCAGGGGGAAAGCCGAGAGGCCGTGCACTGTCCCCCGTCAGCGAGTGCATTATCTACTCTGTTAGTGGGAGCATTGGAACTCACTGGGCAAATGGTGACATGATTACCAATAGCCGCGAGGAAGGGAAGGGAGGTAGGGAGATGAGAAGGAATGAAGTGGGGGAGCCAAATCCTCTTGGCCTCTCACAGAGCTGTATCAGCAGGTAAGGCCTAAAGGTACAAGACCAGGACCCTGGACGCAGCCCAGCGTGCGACAGTAAACCTGGAGAAGGTTCCCTCCCCCCACTGGGTGGGGGTAGGGGAAGTGGAAAGTCACCTGGGTTTAAGACCCATGGGCCTGAGACTTGGACCGGGGCCATCCAGTACAATATCCCCTGGCCTGTGAAGCCCATGAAGTGCGGGCAGCCTGTGGGAATTGGGGTGTGCTCTAAAAAGCACACAGGTTTCAAACACAGGGTGAAGAAAGAGTATCCAGAAGCTTTGATTACGTGTTGAACTAATAATATTTTGGATACATTAAGCTAAATAAGGTAGATTCTTTAAACTAATTTCACTTTTAATATTTTTATTTTTAGTACTTAAACCCACAAACATTAAGTCAATTCCAACTCAGTGATCCTGAATAGGGTTTCCAAGACTAAATTTTTAGGAGATATTACTGCCTCTCTTGTGGTTAGCAGTCCTCTGCTTATTCCACATCACCGCAGGGGCCACTAGACAATGTCATGACATATGAAGGACCTTCAAAACGTACGTGGGAAAAAAATCCACTGTTATTGTCATCTTTTCCACAAATGTTGCATGTGACTTTTGCGTTGTATTCCTACGGGAATCTTGGCTCATGGGGTCCCAGGGCAGGACCTGCCTGAGTTCTCTTCAGCGAGACAGCTCATCCCCAGCACACAGGTAGCTCTTGATTTCCATTAGTGACCCTGCCTGGACAGGTCTCCCAGCTGCAGGGCCAGGATTCTTCCAGGCTCTAAGAAGAGCTAACCGTGTGTCAACAACAGTCTTCAGGTCAGGGACCAAAGACTTGCTTGCTAGTTAGTTGTTAGCATGGGGTTTACTTATTCTGTGTACTTATGGGGAGATAGCTACCCCAGATCTTGCAGCCACACAACCAAACCAAACTCGCTGCCATCTAGTCAGTGCTGACTCCTAGCCAACCCCCTGTGGCTTTCCATGACTGTTTACAGGAGTAGAAAGCCCAGTCTTTCTTCCTCAGAGCTACTGCTGGTTTTGAACTGTCGACCATGCGGATCACAGCCCAACACATAACCATGATACCACCAAGGTTCCTTCCCTTTCATTAAGTCACTCAACCAAGACCCGTCATTTCTAGTTGCTGTTGATGGTGTCAGAGTTGCTGTTCAGACTCCCAGTGACCCCAGTGACAGGGAACAGCCCACAGGGCTCTTGGCCGCAGTCTTTCGGGAGCACATCTCTAGGCTTCTTTGGCATGGAGCGCTGGGAGAGTAGGGAAGCCCTGTTATTGGAACTTCTGGAATGCAGTAGTTTCTTAGTAACCCTATGTTGATCAAAAGTTAAAAAGTCGGAGTTCAGACAGGGACCCAAAGCCTATCTGCCGACAGTAGCTCACAGGGCTACTGTAGCTTACAGGGCGACAGTAGCTCACAGAGCCCTCACAGGGCTCACAGGGAAGGGATGAGTCAGTCGGCACAGTAAAGCACCGATGAAACATAGCAGTACTCCTCTGTTTCTCTGAGGCTTCCTCACTCCCTACCGTCAGCACTGCCTTTCACTGCAGGCTAAACTGGAGCATGTGCACAGGTACAGCTGAGAGATAAGAGCTCACACACACAGAATCCAGGAACAGGAATGGGAGTAGCAATACCAGATGGGCAGGGGGAAGGTGGTGAGAGGAGGGGAGGAAGGGGGAACCGATTGCAGTGATTGACACATAACCATACACACCCTTCCAGGGGGACGACCAACAGAAACCGTGGGGGAAGGGTGACAGCGGTTGGTGTAAGATGTGAAAATAATAATTTATAATTTATCAAGCAATCTAGAGGGTGTGGGGTGGGAGGGGAAAAAAGAACTGGTACTAAGGGCTCAATAGAAAGTAAATGTCTAGAAAAGAATGACAACACATATACAAATATGCCTGATACAATTGATGTATGGATTGTTATAAGAACTTTATGCGCCCTCAATAAAATGATTAACAAAAATTAAAAGTGACAGGCCTCACTATGAGACACAACATCCCTCACTGACCCATAGCCTTACAGGGGACAACACTGGAGACAGTGTGGGAATTGTGCCCCATCTCACCCCACCACACCGAGGCAAAACACTAAGGGCATGCAACAGAGCAGCAAGGGAAACAGAGCAAGGAAGTCCCGAGGGAGTACCAAAATAGACTTTGGGGAGGGACGTGACACCCTATCAGACTTGACCGTAAAACACTCCTAAAGGTCAACAAAGAGACCTTGAACTTTTTACAGGCTTTTCTCTTTTTTGTCATTGGTTATTTTTTGTTGTTTTGTTGCTTTGTTTTGCTCTGTCTTGTTTTTGTTCATATTATTATCTCTGCAGGTCTATCTAGATAAGATAGGCTGGATAAACAATCCGGAGGAGAAAACAAGGGGACTGACCCAGGGGGACATGGAAGAGGGTGAGGCAGAGGAAAGGAAGTGGTGTTAACAAACCCAGGGACAAGGAAACAAATGATCCAAAATCAGTGGCAAGGAGGGTGTAAGAGGCCTGGTAGGGCTTGATCAAGGGCAATGTAACCAAGAAGAATTACTGAAACGCAAATGAAGGCTGAGCATGATAGTGGGACAAGAGGAAAGTA